ATGGAAAGCTGATACTAACAATATAGAATTTAACATGTAAACGAATCAGGAATAAGAAGAAAGCAGTAACTATTAGATCATGACATCACCATTAATTTAAAGCAGGATCATCCACCGTTAGACTATGAAATCACCATCATATTATACAGGAAATGATTAAAATAATGCAATAAACGCAAAGAAGCTACCCATAAGTAGATTATAAAGTTACCATCAGATTACGAATGGTAAGTTATGAAGTTGCTACCAGATTATGAATTTAGATTATGAAATCACCATCATATTATGAAGTTATCAGCAGACTGAAGTTACCATTATGACATGAAGTTACCAATAGACTATGAAGTTACCATCATATTATGAAGTTACTAGCAGACTATGAAGTTACCTTCATGACTTAACTCAAGTCGCATGTGATTTGATCAATTAGTACGCAAACATATTAAATTTTAAAGAATTTTTAAAAAATTATTATAATAAATTTTTTGAAACTTAATTTATAATTAAATTATTTTAAAAACCTTTTAAAAAACTTAAAATCTTTGTTAATAAAATTGATAAAATATATATTAAATTATATTTTTTATATAGTAATAATATTACTAAATTAATATTTAATATTTTATAAAGAAATTAACAATTTTTATTAATTTCGTAGGCAAATTTGCTTGCTAGACAATCTAAGGAATAACAATCATAATGCTAACCTGAATTATCTATCATAATTAAATAAACTTAGAATTTTTAACATATTATGTATCTAATTTAATTTAAAAATCCTAATTTATTTTATTTTTGATTTACAATTAATTACATTTAATATATCAAGTGTTGATTGCTTTTTTATTGCTAATATTTAAGAAAGTTTAAAGAATTTATAAACATATTTTTTGTTAATTATAGTTATAATTCATTTTCTTTTTTAATTACACAAATTTTGATCATTTTTATTGGCTAATGTTGTATCACGTAATATTATATCAGTACTGAAAATTTGAAATAAAATTATATAATTGTTTAGTATAGACTTCCAATACCATATAATAACTAATTACTTTATTTATAGATATAAAAAATTTATGTCACAATTTAGTAGAGAAAATTTTGATATTTGTGAGGATCATATTCTTAATGATAATGAAAAACTTCATATTTTTATAACTCATAATGAAATATTATTTTACGTTAATAATGGTCAAAAATCTGGATAGGATCCTAAATTTGAATAACTATTACGTAAAAAAGGATAAAATTGTGTTATTTATGTAAGTGAATTCTTTTATAAAACTATTAGACAGCTTAAACTCAATAATAAACAAATCAAATCAGTTGATAATTCTTTTTCACATGAAGCTAGAGTTATGATTTATTCTGAAAAGAATCATGATGGTTATTGGAATGTTGAACAATTAACTAAACAAGTATGTATTATATTTATAAATTATAATTAATATTAAATATTAATTTATTTTTATTTAATTAATAAATAGATTATCAAATAAACAATTCCTATTTTTGAATTGACACATCCTGGAGCTATTGGAGTATTTGCCTTTGATAATTCTTCTTCTTATAATGCATATGCTTCAGATGCACTTAATGCAAAAGCAATGAATGTAAATCCTGGAGAAAAATAACCCAAAATGCGAAATATTATATTTAATGATCAAGTACAACATTTAGTATTTTCAGAAGATTATTTAGATGTTGAGTTACAAGATAAACCTAAAGGTATGCGTATTATTGAGGTTTATGAAAAGAAAGAATAATTGGATTTTGTAAAAATGATTTACCTAATGAAGATTGTTGTATGCAGCATGTTTTAGAACAGCAAGAAGATTTTTGTAATCAGCGTTGTTTACTTTAAGAAGTTATTGACAATTTAGGACACAAAGTTATTTTTTATCAAAATTCCATTGTGAGTTTAATTTTATTGAAATTTATTGGGGAGATTCTAAACGTTATGCAAGAAGAAAATGAGATTATACTTGGCGGAAATTGCAAAATGTAGTACCAGAAGCATTGGAATCAGTTTCTTTAAGACAAATTCAGGGTTATACACAAAAGTCATTTCGATATATGGATGCATATAGAAAAGGACTTGATGTAAAACAAGCAGAATAAGCAGAATATGCTGTTAAAAAGTACAAACGACATCGCATAATTCCTCAGACTATTTTTGATGAATTATAAATAAATAATAAAATATTCGTTCATGTAAATCACGTGAATCATATATAAATTACGTGATTATTATAAATATTTTGAAATTTGGCACTTCTGATATTATTGTTTAAAAAATTTACCGTGACTAGATGGTCCGAGCCAGGACGCATATGTGTGGATCGTTCGTGACTACTATACGCCCTTATTGTATTGAAAGGCCTCTTGCTGTTTTTCCTTAGCGAAGGCAAATCAACCTTGGTTGGTTACAACAATGCCAAAATACTTTATTCTGTTTTTACTGATTAATTTTTTTTCACTTTATTTTTATGAAATAGTTCCTTAATTCACTTGAAACCAATCGGGTTGCATAAATCTAGTATCTAGTCAAAGTTGCTTCTGAACAACCATCTGCCGACAAAATTATTTACGAATAGTCAGAACCTAATTTCTGTAACTGGTCATAACATTCAGTCTTTCTTAACGACTTGTAAAAATAAATTTTAATTTTTTATGATTGATTCAATTACAACATAGATTCTCAATAATAATATTTTTTCGTGTACTGTTCAGTAAAATAATAATAATATTTTAAAAATTAACTTTTTATTATGATCAAATTTTACATTTCTAGATATTCTTTCTGGACAAAAAAAAATACGATACAATTGATACACTTGACACAATCATAAACACAAGTTTTATTCTCCAAAATTCACATAAGTACTATAATTATTATTTGATAGCAAATTACGTAGTCTGTAACAGTTTAATTTTATATATAATAATTTTATATGAATACAAAATTGAATTTGTTTTTCCCATCCCACTTTTATAATAGTACCGAAAGCCTTTCTTCAATTGAATGCAGATCACACCTGATATTGCTACACATTCAAGGCTCTTTCCAATTTGTTCCACTACGTCGTTTACTTTTTACAAGTTTCTGAGCATGCTGCAAATGTTTTCGATTGCAAGGAAACTTACACAAGGTATTAATCTCGATTAGAATTGAATTCACCTTGGATCGAAACATACAATCTTATATATTTCTCTTTAATTTAAGAGGAAGGATTATCCAACATCAAATGAGCAAAATTTTCGATTTATAGAAGCTAAGCCATTCCTCATTCCTTTGATTTTTTAATTTAATAGCTGTATTTGAGAAAAGGATGATCGCTCTTGAAAGTGGAATAGGCGCTTTTTGCACAATTTGTTCACTTGGCGTAGCTGGCGATAATATTATTTCAAAAAGTTATTTGTACGGGAAAAATTTAAGGTAATTAAGTACTCATGAACACGGTTATTTTGTCGTTCCTAAAATATAGGACTATTGTTAAATATTAAGTTATACTTCCAAAATTGATTATCAATGTTAAATTCATTGAAGATGATCCAGAAGGATTCATTAAATTGATGAAAAAACGAAAGCCATTTACCTTGAATCTATGGATAATCCGAAATTTAACGTTCCGGGTTTCAAAGCAATCTGTAAGGTTGCACATGATGCGGAATAGCTGAGAAATATAATAGAAAATAATAATAAAATCAATCTCTTCCATAGAATTTCATTTTTAAAATGGATTAAAAATTTTTTATATTATCGGACTAATAATCATACGATTAAATACTTGACAACGATAAAAAAATTTTTTTAATTCAGAGCGATCCAAAGAATTACAATGAAAAGCTAGCTTTTCAAGGTTTAGTATGATGTCATGAACTCAAATATTTCATCTTTCAGCACCATTTCTCCATGGAATTTAAAAACGCGATACAAAAATGGTAATAAATAGTGTCGATGTACGCTAAGATTCAAATAGCATAAATTACTTTCTTATGTCATAGGAATTATTTATTTACAAATAACCCTGTCCTAAAAAAAATTAGTCCTAATTTGGTGTTTGCTGCGGCTTGTGATAAAGATCTTGACAATCTAAGCCACTTATGGTAATAAGGGTCTTTTTTTAAAAAGATTAAAATGATTAAAACTTATTGACAAAAAATTTTTTCCCACATTTTTTGTAAACCTTAATTTCATTACCCTTTTATGGATAAAGTTGTAAACAAAAGGTTGTTTTTATTAAATAAAATTCAAAAAATGATTTCCAAATTTTTTTTTTTCTCTTCTTTCATTTTCTCCGAATAAAAAAAAGAATATATATATATTTTTTTTTTAAAAAAAAAAAAAATGGGTAAAGGTTCTTTTACATTTGCGGCGATAAAAAATGTGATCGTGGTGTTGAATTTTTTATCATTGGTATGAAAATTAAAAAAAAAAAGTCATTTAATGAAACCAAAATAATAAACTTATTTTCATTTCATTTTTTTTATCCACCAAAATAAAAGCTTTCGGGTTTTATTCTAATTGCTGTAGGTACGTTATTTTTTAATAAAATAAAAAATTATTCCTGGCTCATCTTTGTTGAGTGTTAACTACAATTTACTTTTCAAAAATTTACAATTAGGATATTATCTCTTCAGTACCGAAGCTGAGGTGTCTCACGTGACATCGTCGACCATTGAGTATCATTTTCCATATGTTCTTATTTCTTTGGGTGGACTGATTTCGCTCGTCAGCTTCTTAGGTTAGGAGAGTTGTTATTAGTAATCATCAATCCACTAGTTTTTTTAAATTTAAATATACTTTGATGTACTACTGTATATGAATGATTTTAGGATGTTATGGCGCAGCGAATCAAAAAATTGGTTTCTTGAAGGTATACGTAATATCATTATTCATATGCATAATCCTTCAAATCAGTAAGCATATTATACTTATCATGTATTTAAGTTGTCTTTTTATTCTACAAAAGTTATCAAATTCTAATTTATTCATGATTTTCTTCATTCAAGTTATTGGTAGTATCGCCTTCGCATATCATCAAGATGTAAGTTAAATTTCAAATCAAAATTTGTTGCTGAGATCAAAAGATTTTATAAAAATTTTCTCCTCAATTTATTAAGGTTGATTCAATCCTTGACGAGTCATGGACAAAAGCATTTCAGAATGATAAACAACTTATACTTGATGTAGAAAATTATTTCCATTGTTGCGGATTTAATAGCCTTTCTGATCGCGTTGTACTTCCATGTACATACTATACACCATGTTATGAATCAATGAAAGTTTCTTTAACATATAGTTTACAGACGATCGGAATCGTAGGCGTAGTTTTAGGATTATTAGAAGTACGTATCCCACCTCATTTTTTAAAAAAAATCTTCTACATGTAATGATTGATGTTAAATAATATTCATTTTTATTTTTATTATGAAATAGCTTATCTGTCTGCTTTTAGCTGTCATATTGATCATTCATACTATTCATATTCATCGTCAAGAACCGGATGAGCGACAAGCTTTGTTGGCAGAAACACGACGACTTGATGATGCTATTCGTAAAACTTATGAACGTCGCTGTCGATATCACTAACTTAATTACGTCTTTCAATAAAGATCCTTAATTTATTGTCAGTATTATAGAATTTAATATATTTTTTATCAAAAAGAAAAAGAGAGAGAGAGAGGAGGGAATATTTGTAATTTAAAGTAAACTCTATAAAATAAATTCACAGATATAAATAAATAAATATATATTAAATTAGATTAATAATTAATTCTATTTTGTTACTTCAAAGTCTTATTATGTTATAATTTAGGATACCAAGATGATCGAGAATTTATTGTTCCATTATAAACTATTTTACCAGCAGAAAGTTTATTTAATTTAGCAGCATCTACAAATTCAAAATCCATCGTTTCTTCCTTAATGTTTGCGTGCACAAACCCATATGCTCCTCTTGGCATTCCCCAATCTTTTCCGTCACATCCAAAACCAGTTTTACATCCAGCCCCAGAAATAAAGAAGGCTACGGGTGAAGCTTTAGTCGGTGCTTTGTATTCTAATACATGGTTATGTCCAGAAAAATACGCGCTCACATAATACACCTTCAATAATTCAAGAAGTCGCGGCATATGATTCACTTGTGAACATATTCCAATCAACGGATGATGCCCTTTAAATATATATTTTTAAAAAAAAAAGTTAGCAAAAAAAATTTTTTATCACTCGTTCATCTACTTGAAATCTCACCTATAACAAAAATATAATCTGCATCCTGATTATCTATTAAGCTTTGCTCTATCCACTTGAATTTTTCTTCTACCGCTTGTTGGGTATGCATTCCAAAATTTAAAAGGTTGGATTTTAATCCTTCCATTTTGATCTCAACGATTGAATCAACATCATAATAAAAGATATTTGTATCAATATGAATCCAAATCGCTTTTAGCTTCAAATCCTTTCCAAATAAAGTTGAACGAACATAAAATAATGAAGGAAAGAAAAATCGAGAATTTACGGTCAGACTATAATCAATTTGAGCTGTGACGTTTGTATACCTAAAATAACGACATAATATCAATTTTTTTTTAAAAAAATTCCAAATTCAATTATCAAATAAATTTTTACTAACCAATCATGATTACCAGCTATCGAATACCACGTAAGCCTTCTTAAATTTGTACTATTATACACTTTTAACCAGATCTCTTCCCATTTTGAATCATTGACGCTAAGTATTCCTTGGTAATCTTTTGCAGACCTTTTATAAAAATTATCTATTTAGATCCGATCAAAAAAAAAAGCACTTTTAATATCTTTCTATTTTTAATTTTTTTTTTTGACACTGTTGAAATCATACTTGTACGGACCACCGACGTTCACGATAAATTTACTATCATGCTTATTCGCAACGTATTCCATCGCTTTAGAAACATTAGCTTGAGGTCCGTGCTTTAAATCTTTGCCTACACCAGCATTTCCCCAATCACCAATGATCAAGAAATCTAAAGTATCTGCATCATATATTTCTTCATAGACTTTTGAAGTAGTTACAAAAATTGAGGGTAATAACCCACCAAACGAAAGTGTTATGTACAACGAAGACATAAAAAGTGAAAGGGTTATTATATAAAAGCAACGAGGCGTTGGTCGTTTTGAGGTGTGAATCATTGTTTTATTTATTATTTTTATATTTCCTGATCTGTTCTGTTCGTCTTGTTTTTCTTCTAAAAAAAAAAATTTCGTAAGTTTAAAAAAAGAAATAGGTGTTACGGGTTACACCAATTCTCATGTGCCGCAGTATGTTATACCAACCTTATTCAAAAATGGGTAATGAACCATCAACCTCCTAAATAAATCGAACAAACTAAAAAAAAAAAAAAAAAAAAAAAAAAAAAACAATTCAAAACAAAAAGGACTCTTAACCCCGAAACAACTATTCACCCAAATGTGATCGACATTTAACAAGTCTTTTTACAGTACAATCAAATAAAATTTACCTATTCTACAATTTCTAATAATATAAACATTTAAATTTATTTTCAATTGTTTAATTTTGCTTTGCAGGAAAATATTTATATGTGACAGAAACAGTGATATGAAAGTGATATGGAAATGTGACGTGACTGTGATATGTAAAATGTGATCTGATCAATCAATCAGAAAATTAGCCAATCATTCCTTATCATGTGATCACTACAGGTAAACAAGATTTTTCGCCCCACGTGACTTTGATTGGCCGGCATTACGGCATTAATAAATTAACCTTTGAGTAAATATTAAGTGCGTGACAAATATGATTTTACTCCGAAAAAAAATTCCGTCCTCTAATAAAAATGGAAAAAGTGGAGGGGTGACAAATATTTTAAACATTTTTGTGGCATACTGGGTAAGATCAGCTAAAGAGATTGGTTTTACAAACATGTAATGTAATTGATCGAATTATGCCATGTATTTACTTTACTATATATGTAATTTTGATATTTCATTCTCGGTAAAGTGCAATATTTTATTTGCGAATCAATTATGATTTCTGTGTCAAAAATTTTTATATCAATCATGCATTCGATATATTATGATCGCGTCAATCTCGCCGCGTCAAATAATCATAAATAAATAAATCTGAGAACTCTATATAAAAAAAAAAATTTGCAATTTTCATTTAATTCGCAAGGAAAAAAAAAAGATATCCCCAGACCCCAAAAAATAAGGAATTTAACTTGGAAAGTTTGTTAATCGCACAAATAAATACCATATCACATAAATTTACTTGTATTTATATTTACAAAAAAATTGTTTCAGTTATACACAAAAAAACATATTTAAAAAAAGGAAGGAAGGAATGGAAGTGAGAAAAAACGACAAAAAAAAAAAAAAAAAAATGGGGAAAGTCGGTGGAATGGGGATTTGAAAATTTGAACAAAAAAATTTAACCCACCAAAGATATGTACGAGAAAAGGATTTGAGATAAAAAAAGAAAAAAAATATGTACGAAAAAAAAAGGAAGATGAAATAAAATAAAATAAAATAAAGTGAGTGTGCGAGTAAGATACTTGATTGATGTCAATCATGTGAAAATTTACAAAGCATGAAAGAAGCGATTGCATCCCAAGTATCTCAAGTTAAAAAAAAAAAGTCTTGATATTGAATTCATACCGTATATAACTAAATATTCCTAAAGTCCATAAAATAAATTCTTTCTATCGAGCGAAATTGTTCGCCCGTAAAAATAATAAAAATAAAAATAATAATAATAATCTTACAGAGGCCATTGCGAGAATAGATGATGGCTATTTACAAGAAGAGGGAATACCTCCAAAAAGGGTGATGAGATTTACAAAGGAGAAAATGAAAAGAGAAATCATACTCATAAATAAATATATATATATATAATACAAGGTTATATATATAGTAAGTTCCCATATAAAAATACGGAAATTTTTATATATATATTATACCCTTCGAAAAATGAAGAGCAGTGGATATTAAAAAAAAAAAAATCTTATATAATATAAATTAAGGTATGAAATGAGAAGCAAAACTGGAAGTAACGAGAAATTATGGCTCGTAACTAATTTCAATTGCTTACCCAAGTTACCTTTTATTTTAAAATTTTTAATCTCGCTTGGCCTTTCTTTTTTTTTCATATAACATAAAATGATTAAAAATTATCTGACCACTTGATCATTCGAGTTACCATACAAATGCATGAATCCCATTTCATCGGTCATGGTCATAGTCATACTGGAATTGACAGAATTAGCATCAATTTCTGAAGGGGTTAAAGGACTCCAATGTGCAACACCAATAGCACTACCATCGGTAACCTTTAAATCAGAGGTATCAACGATTGGTAATTTGGCAGCCTTGAGATCCATACCATAATTCCACATTTGACGTTCCTTCAAAGTGGGCCAAACGGTCGAATCTAAGCTATGTCCTCTAAGCAGTTCTGGCGCAGAATGAACATTGTTGTCATGTTGCTGGTTGCTTCCTAGCATTGAATTTAAACTGAACGAAAATGCTGCTTGGTTGGATGTCATGGTCGTTCCCAATGAATGTCCATGTCCGGGATGAAATTCTGAAACATTGGATATGGTATATCGATTGATAGGTTCAGAAAACCGGCGCTTCACCTAAAAAAAAATAAAAAATTTTTTTAATCATTTTATTCAATTTAAATTCAATCTAAACACTTTAAATAAATTATTACTTGAGTAGGAACGGCTAAAAATTGATGCAAGTTCGCATCATTATAAAGTGTTTCGTCCTCAATAATGGTTGAAAGAGATCGCTTCTCTTCGGGAGTTCCGAGCTTCATGTTTAAAATTGAAGCCATTAACTCGGGACAGGAATTACGACGAACATTGGCGAAGGCAGTCGGATTCAAAGGTTCGTTGGTGTCAATAGCATCTTTTTCGCTAATCACGGAACTAACTGTAGGGCTGTAAGTGTACTCGGTGAAATAATCCGGGATGGTTACGGCAGATTGTGGAGTAGAAAGAGGGATAAGACTATCCATGTGATCATAAACATACTCAGATGCCACGGTAGAAGCGGAAGAAACATTTGAATGCATCCACTCACTATCATCTTGCTGAGAACTCGTAGTTTTTTGAAGAAATTGATGAATTTGTCTTTGTTGAACCATATGCTCGTATTCTTCTGGAGTATCCCAAGTAGTTTTAAGGGGGTCAATGTTTGGTTTCGGACGAGATCTCTTTGGAGCTTGATCATTGTCCGTATGAGAAAGAATTTCACTAACAACGGATTTTTGTTCTTCAGCATAGAAAGGTTCCGACTGATTTGTACTAAATCCACAATGATAAGCTTTATTGCCTTGAGGACTATTAGGAATACTTTCTGCAATAGCTCGCTCACTAATATTTTCCATCGATGGATCAGTAGTAATATTAGCTTGAGATACATGGTCTGTTGAGGCAGTTGCCGTCGAGTCAGCGTTAGAAAAGAAGGTTTCTAAAGAGTCTGTAGGACTAGATACAGAAATATTATTCTCGGGTGAAGGATTGTCTTCGACATTCTTTTGTTTTTTTGCTTTGGCACGTCTGTTTTGAAACCAGACCTGCACACCACGAGGGGTCATATTTAACTTTTGAGCTAACGCTTGACGAACAGCAGCATGGGGTTTCGGATTTTCATTGAAAGCCTTTTCGAGAACTTTTAATTGCTGACGAGAAGTTCGACGTCTATGTTTCACTTCAAAAGGATTATAAAAGGTGGGTTTGAATTCTCCGTGTGGTGATTGATGGAAAGCATCAAACATTTGGGGAGCTGGATGAACTTGAGGACGTTCTTGTGTTGCCGCCGTCGCTCCTATTGCTTCAGGTAAATTATTCTCGTTATAGTTCATTTTGGTAAAGTTTTCGAAACTGCTTTTTAATTTTTTTTGTGCTTTTATATAAGGCCAACTACACGAAGACGTGTCAATCAAAGGAGATTCGGGGGCTGTGTCCCAATCTATCGAGTGATGTCAAGATAATTGTCGCATAAATAGAATAAAAAAGCGATCGGGGTCACTTAGGAAGCGAAAAAGTAGAAAAAAAAAGGGAGGCCGGACAAGCCACACGCAGGGGAGTAAGATGATTGGCAGCTGCCGCAAACTGCAAGGGGATTATTACACAACTTTCCAATTTTAACAGGCAAATCAGATGACGATTATAATATTCATTTGAACGCCTTACTATATAAAAAAAATATATATATTATATTGAAGGAATGGCGCCATTTGTTTTAGCACAACACAACAGGTAAAGTGATAATTCGGCCGGAATATCGAAATCTACTATATCGTACATAAAGGTATGAAGTACTTCTTGGTGCATCACTGACTCATCACAGCTGCATCACTTATTGACAACAAGTTCTGGGGCAGTTTCATTCTTCTTTTTAATTTCTGGGGCATTTACAGGTTTTTATTTGATCAATTGACATCTAAATTTTTGTTAAGAAAATTTTTCTTGAGGCTTCTCGATAAATCTGTTATGAGCCCTCAAGCGTAGTGCTCAAGCCTATGTAAGAACTTTAATTGCAAATGAAGAAAGTTTTTTTATACAATACTTTGAACATTGCGGGTGTAACAAAAAAATGTTCGTGTCACGCTAATGATAATAATATTGGTGAGACAATATGTAAAATTTTGAATTGATCATGGCCGGTTTTGTGATAATAGGAAATCATAATAACGAAATTTTATTTTATGGATTTGGATCACTTGTCAAACTGAATACAAAAAATTTTGTATTTACAAACATAATTGAATTTCATTATTTCATTCAATTTATTTTTAAATTATATAATTAGTTTAATAATATATTTAGATTCGTTAAAAGAGAAAATTTATTTAGAAATAATATTAAATACCAAAATAAATTCGGAGTTTTGTATACATGCATAGAAAAATAGAAAGAGGAATTGCCGGGGAAAAAATATTAGGCATTAAAAAATAAAATTATTTTTCCCGGCAGTTTTCCCCATTTTTTTTATCGTTATAACAAAATATAAAATAATTGGTTTTATACTTTATAATATATAAATTAGTTATAAAAAAGTTTTATTAATGAATATAAATTTTAAATATAAATTTTAATTATTATTAAATAAAAACAACTTCAAATATATCTTGATTTTAAAAATATTTAAAATGATTATTATACAAAAAAATTTATATAAAGTAAAATAAATTTATTTATATTTAATAAATTATAATTTCTGAATTTTATATTAAATTTTTTAAAATCATATTATAAAATTGATAAAATAATTAATAATTTTAACAAAATTATAATCTAAATAATATGTTATCTTTTAAAATTTAATTTTTTTAAATTAATATAATAATCTTAATTTAATAAAAAATATATAATAAATTAGATAAAATATATAATAATATATATTTATGACAGTCTGTAAAAAAGAGAAAAATACAAATTTTAATCTAATTAACCATTTGGCTGATCTTAGTTATATATAAAATTAGCTTAATAATTTATAATTTTCATTTTTAACTAATTATCTTTCATATATTACTAATTAGTTATATTAGGATATTATCTGTTTATATTAATTGATTTCTAATCCACATACTTATTTATTTTGATAATTGAAAACATTTTTCTTATTAAAATAAGATCTGTATTTTTATTACTTTATACTTTTATAGTTATGATATTATTATTTTACTATTACTTTTTTTATGTATTTTTATTATAAAAAAATATATAAGCATATAATCAGTGTATGATTTTCAAATCCATATATGTATGTGAAAAATATATATTGTATAATAAGATTATGTGCAGAAATTATTACAGGTAATACAATCAACCCTTTATAATAGTCACACTCTTAGACTAAAAAAAATTGGTGTGATTATAAAAATACTATATAGTGTAACTAAAGAGGAAAATATTTTAATAAGTTTATTAGTAACTTAAGCCAATGTAAATATGCTTATAAAGGAGAATGTGACTATATCTGGAGTGACTATAGAGGGATTAACTGTATTCAAAATATCATATATATTGTGCACATAAAAAATTTTAGTGTGAAATTTTCATTTATATACTGTATATAAAATTTTTTTAATAACTGAGTTATGCAGATTTACGTACACTTTAAAAGTTAATATATGCAGAAATTTATGATCATGCACATATGATTGTACTACTAAAATCATATACTGCATATAATATCTTTAATACTTTTTTAAAATATATAATATTGAATTTATAATTCTATTATTTTATGATAAATACTAAATTTATAATTTAGTATTAATTTTTCTCTTAATTATTATAAATAAAATAATAATATAATTTTGAAAAGGTTTAGACTAGCATCTAATGGTATTTGACTAAACTACTTTTAAAAGCTTAACACTTTCATCAAATTATTGTGATTGACTAAATTATAATAATATTTCATTATGACTAAATATTTTATAATAACTAAATAATTTTGTCATAACTAACTATTTTTATCATAATTAAATAGGTTATATAGCTAACTAGCTAACTAGTTATAATATACTAAATTTTTATCATGACTAAATAATTTTGATATAATTAAATAATTTTATCATAAATAATTGTTTTAGAATAATCAAAATAATTTTAGTATTATCAACAAATTCTATAGTTTATATATAAGTAAATAATTTTTAGTATAATTATACAAATTTAGTATTTAATATAACAAAATATTATTATATTAAATATTTTATTATTTAATTATTAAAGAAACAATTAAATTAAAATTTTATCAAAAATTATAATAAGTATAAATTTTAATTATTAAATTCATAAAAAATTTTTATTTAGAAAAAAAATTTTATTTTTTTTATAATTAAAATTTATTTTATATTTTAATTTATTATATAATAATATTCTCTTATATATTAAATTATAATATAATTTTATAATTTAAAAAATATTTAAATATAAATTTAATAGATAAATAAATATTTAAAATAAATTATCTTTATATTGTTAGCTTATTAAATTATTTAAATAAAGGATTTAAAAAATAATTAAAATATTATATTTTAATTTCATTTATATATATATAATCTTATATTATATTAATAAAAATAGATTAATTATAGAAGTTATAAATAATTATAAAATATAATCTTATTATTCCTTTAATAATAAAAAATTGCAAACAAATTTGTCTGCAATTTTAAATAACTTTAATTAATTTTTAACATAAATTTTTATTATTACACCTATTGATTTTTTTTTTGAGATTTACTTAAAATTCTTAAAATTCATTATAAATTTTATAAAAATATTAGTTTTAATTAATATTTTATCTTAAAACCATTTTTATTAAAACATAATTTTAGTATTTTAATAATTTATAATTTATTATAATTTTTATTCAATTTTATATTAAATTTTATACATTTATCTTAGAACTATAAAATTTTTATATAATATTTATTTTAAATATAAGTTAAAGTTTTTAATTATTAATTTAACTTTAATATATAATTTAAATGTATAAAATTGCAGACAAATTTGCTTATAATTTTAATTGATTTTAATTGATTTTTAACATTAATTTTTACTAATTAATCTAAAGTTTTTTTTTGATTTTCACTTATGAAATTTATTATAAAAATATTAAATTTTAAAAAAAAGTTTTATTTAAAATTTTATATTAAAAAGAAATATTTTATATTATCAAAATTTTTAAATATTTAATATATTGATTTAATAAAATTGGTTTAAAATGTATTATTAAAAAAATAATATTTTTAAAATAAGATTTAAGATTAATTAGTAAAATTAATTAATTAAAATTGGTTAAAATTACAAATAAATTTGCTAATTAATTTTTAATTCAAAATTTTACTAATTAACCTAAATTTTTTTAGAAAATATTATAAATTTTATTTTAAAAATAGGATTTTTTTAATATTACATTTTTAACTAATTTTATTAAAGTAATACATGTATATTAAATATTTATATTTTTAATAATAAAAATATTTTTCTTTAACAAAAAATTTTAAAGTAAAGCTTTTTTGTAAATTTAATATTTTTATAATAAATTTTATAAATTATATTAAATAAATATACCATATATTTTATTTTAAAAATATTTTTTTAAAATAATACATTTTAAACCAATTTTATTAAAGTAATATATCAAATATTTAGTATTTTTGATAATACAAAATATTTTTTTCTAACAAAGATTTTTAAGTAAAACTTTTTTATAAATTTAATATTTTTATAATAAAATTTATAAGCTATTCTAAGTAAAGATGCTTGCTAAAACTTTTTCAAATAATTTTGTTATATTTCTTATTATATTTTAATATAGTTTCAGCTAATTTTAGATTTTAGGATTTCGTCATACTCCTTATTATATTTTAATATAATTTTAGCTATTTATTAATTAGGTGTATTCACAAATTCAATTAGATTAGATTGGATTGGATTTTCTAATCCATTTAGATTAGATTGAATTTTCATATAATCTAATCTGTATTCACAAATAAATGGATTAGATTATGAATTTTGTATAATATTATAAAAAAAGAGTTAATGCTATTTAAATTAAATAAAAATTTGAACAATAAATATTCAAAGACATATTATAATTCTTTCACTTGTATATCTAATTTTTTAAACAATTAACTCTTCTTCTGAAGAAATATCTGATGATAACATTGATTTATCAATCTTTCATGAATGTATAAGTGTTATTGAAAGAAATAATTCTTTAAAAATAGGTTATAGGTGAGTAAGAAGGACACGTAGTATTTGTTACTTTAATAACATATGTAATAATTAGGAAAATGTAAAATTTAAGCAGCATTTTAGAATAACAAAAACTACA